GGTGATTTAATCGATGATTCTCACGGCACTTGAACTTCCGCGATTCGTTGTAAATCTGTCGCGTTTGCGTGGCCAGGGAGCCCGTTTATCAAAATACAGTTCATCCGAGATTACAATGATCCGTATGGATACACCCCTAGCAGCAGTTCGCTTCCTCCGGGGGCGCTTTCGCTCTCGCAGCGGGATTATTCGCAAGAGCTGTAAATATGGCGCGTTTAAACCGACGACAGGGGCAGAGAATCGCCCCGTAAATAGGGAAATATTCGACGGAGAATTTACCTATACGTTCCGAGTGAATACTCTGAGATGTCATGACTCAGGGTTAAAATTTATGTCTTCGCGCTGTGACGTTATCGAGAATCACGGGAAAAATCTATAATAACCGCTCGAGGATATGTACGAAACGTATGTACACGGGCAAGAGTTTCCGATCGTTCGCTGATTTCTAGAAAAATTTAACATCCTAATAAAATTTATCAACGAGATAGTTACTAGAAATAGCTGCTTCCAAAATTGAATCTTTATCGCGAAAGCGATAATTAAAAGTGCCACGAGATTGAAAACCAATCGGTCATTATTAAACAAACGACAGTTTGAAATTTAAGGTCCGGGCAGGCGAAACTCTACTTAAACCGGGTAAGAGCAAGGGAAAATGTGAATCGATAAGAAGGAAGAAAAGGAAGGAATTCCTTTATCGTGGAATTGTTCCAGATTTATGAGCTCCAGGAGTTCAGCTATTCAAATTTTTCGACTGCTCTTTCTTGCCTACCCACCATAAGACCACAGGGCTCTCTGCCCGGCGGGTAACAGGGGGGGAGGCCAATATAGAAATGGAAGAAAGCAAAGTCTTTACACAGACGAACGGATTCGATATTGATGAACTCTAATAACTTCCGTCTGAAAATTTCAAATTCTCCTTTTTTCACCGACGAACCGTCGTTCTCGTCGTCGTCGAGCCACTCTGCATATACGAGCAATGCAACGGCTCGTATTTGCCTACAATAAATCTCCATTCGGTATTGGTTTCCCCATTAGCAAAGTTTATCGTAACCACCGAGGAAATATAAGAAACATAAATTCTTCGAGACTTGTTTCGAATTAGGTAGGCAATACCTCGAGAAATAATATACCCGGCTCTTTCAGTGGCCCAGAAAAATTTAAAAAGCTGGAGTAAAGAAACTTAATAATTGTCAAAGCTCGAATTGAAATTGTAATTGTAACTGAATCGAGATAACGACTAATTTGAGCTCGTAACTGAGTCTCGAATAGGGGTCAAAGACGACATATTCGGAGTTGATAAGACGAACTTTAAACGTACGAGCAAAAGCGCATACTCTTGACGTTCTGCTCGGGAACAACGATATTGGTTGCGCGTGCAGCCAAGTGCATCCAAGATACCGAAGTCATAACTGAATCGTCGTTCCGCGATAATTATTATGCCCTCGAGTTGCTCAAAGTTGGAAGGCGGCGCGAGCTTCTGCACACCGTTCGAGCACAGCAGCCTTTGAAAAAGAGACCAGGTAGGCGAACAAAGAATGGCCAAGAGTCTGTATCTACGCGGCTGGCTGTGCACATACGTGAATATGCACGTGTGCGAGTCCAACGTGCATCTGTGCACCGGCTGAAGAGAGAGACCTGGACAGAGAGAGAGGAAGACAAGTTGTAGTACCGGTCTAGCTTGTCCTCGACGAGAACTTTGGCACGTACGTACGTAGGTACGTAGGCTGTCTTACGCCATACTTATACCGACACCCTGGATACTAAAAGTATTCCCTACTTGGCTATTTTCACCTAATTTACGGCGAATAAAGCCGAAACAAAATGTGAAACTTGGTTAGCTGCACGGAGACACTTTATCGACCGTATAATTGTACTTTCTTCGGACTCTTAAAAGCTGAAAACTATTAAACAACTCGCTACACGCGTTCATTAACGCCTTTTCAGATTAGAATCGAGATCATCTACGAGAGATCTTTTGGACAACTGGTGGCATTTATCAAATATTTCCAAACATTAATTTAATTGCTTCTAATCATAGTCTAATTGACACTCTGTAACAAATAGCAGCATACATAACGATAATGCTAATCTTTGGCGTATAGATATTCGATGATGAGTGGCTGCAAAGCTATCAAATACCAGTATACGTATGTTATTAGCTTGTCCATATTACCATCCAGAACGGCGCAAAGGGGATAATCGTAACAGCATCGCGTTCAAACGCAAAGCTACCGGCGTCGAATGATCGAAATCCACTCTGGTTTAATGTCAGCGAAATAATAAAACAAAAGAGATCGATCAGCGTTAATTCCTACGAATTCCTTCGACGAACGAACACGTGAAATATCTGTCGAGCCAGAGAGAAACCTCCCAGCAAGGGAGAATCGCGAGAACGCCATGTGTAGCCTTAAATATGGAGCCTCCTGCGCTTCTAAACGACATATGCGTGGGGCATACGAGTTCCCCTAACCTTGTGGGGTGCCATTCGGATGCGTTAATGCAAGATAATGCGGCGTCATTTCGTTTCATTTAATTTCTATTTACCCCGAAGGCCCGGGTTTCCCTCGGTAGGAAGCTCGAAAAAAAAAAAGAAAAAAGGTGAACACGTCGCGCGATTTCCGGCGCGTTGATTCAATTATCGGCAGGTTAGCGCCGAGGAACGGAAACTGGTTACAGGTCGAGCCAATTCACGGCTAAGTGCTACGTCCACGGACCGAGTCTGTGATAAGAAGAGTCTCGACAACACCTAATAAGCACACGTCGCGTTATCTCTGGTTGGAAAGTCGAGGCAATGGGACACGTCTCCACCAGTCAATCGTTATCTGGCCACAGAGAACGCGCTAACACAGCCATGCGCCATTGTTTATCACCAAACTAAGCGTGCATTGTACGCTCGTTCGGTTCTACCGAATTAATGGCACTGCCGGCAGCAAGAAATACGGATCGTGGATTTCCAGCCACGCACCACGACGTACAATTTACTTTCTACGAATCGTTTCGCGAATATTTCATCGCTAATATTACCAGCTCTTTAAATACACGTACAGGGACCGATGACCCGAATAGCTGTTTACTTTTCGCGATAAATTAAACTGTTTCGAAGCGTCTTACACGGTGCATATTAAAGTTAACGTTTCGTGTCACATTTTGTACAACTGTACGATTAATATGCAAATGAATCGATTAAACAATTTACTCCAAAGCTTCGATGTATATTTGTCGTGATTGCATCCGAAAGAAATTGATAAATCCGTATCGCGATGGAGGAACAACTCGAACTCGCGTTTATCGTCCGATAATTAGCATTCTTCGACGAAGACCAGGGGTTTTCAAGTACGTTCTCGAACGAAATTCTCCAAGGTGCCGATAACACGATGATGAGGCAATTAATATTGATGTAACGCAAGGCGAATGGGACGCTATATTTGACCGAATACCAAACATCGTCCCGGATTAATATTTAATCTAGGCGTTCGCGGTGTTTCCGCGAGCAGACGAGACCGTTGTTCGTGCTCGTCGAATTTTTTACGATCGTTACACGGTAAATTCTCAATGCAGCCTGCTTGAATATTCAACGCGCTCGTTTCCTCGCCGTAATAAACTTCTCGAGGCTTCGGCTGTGTGCGACGACACAATAATTATTATTCGCCGTTAAGAAACAAGCTTCCCCTCGCCCCCTTGACCGGCCGGTCTCCTCCGTGACGCGTAGAAACGGAGCACAGCAATTTGAAAACGCAATCGTAAGCCTCGAATAACTCGAGCAACTCGAGCTACTCGAGATAGGTACTTTGCATGCCTTCGCGCAATCTCGGATCGCTTACTCGAAACTATTACGCCTTTTTATGCTACCGGCGAGAGATGATCGTTTTTAACCCGGCTGTCGCGAATGCTACACACGAGAGACCTTGTTCGAGATCGAACGTTCAAGAAATCCGTTGTATAATTAAGGATAACGAGATGATATCATGCTCCGAACCGAGATGCAAACGATATCTCTTCAAAGAAACACCAGCTATGATATTTATATTTAGCATCGTGTCAAGAAGAATCTATTTCAAGTGAAATGTTGCTTAATAAATAAATCGATCAGGAAGTAGCACGAAGTTTCTTGGGTCGAATAATAAACAATATTGACCCAACGAGAACGAAACGTTGATTTACCGAGATAAATAACATCAAATTTATTCTCAATGATTGGTAATTTGTTACTCGGTAATGCACTGTATACAGTTTAATTATTGACATTTAATCGGAAGATTATCGCTATTTATTATTTGCACTTGAACGAATAATTCGCTCGACCGATCAATCGATGCAAATTTAAGAGTAAGTTTCGTTTCTAGCATAAATTTGGAAATCGTGTTACATCGATACAATTCCTGTGATTCAACGTTCGGGACACATATATTTCGACGATCGATTACTCATATCGGATTTCTCGAGAAAGCTTTCTCCATCAGCTGAGTTTGACAGTTTCGATCAGTCTTTATCCGAGATTATAGTCTCGGTGATGCACGACGATTCGATCGCGCCAAAACGACGATCTCGATCGTTGCGCGCTACTTCGATCCGTCATTCTCGTAAGCGAATCAACGGGAACGCTAGGCGGCCTATCGTCGAGTTTAATAATCTAAAAGCCCGTTTCGATTCTTCGAGTTTCGGAGGAAAACGAACAAAACGATACAGGGGAATTCTCCAGCCAGCCAGCGAAACGGAGCGGGCAAAGAAAATGGTGACAAAAACGAAGATAAAAGCGAACGAAGACGGAGAGAGAAAGGATCCAGATATCACAATAGGATTCGTCTCTGTTATTATCCTTCTTGTCCATAGCATTGGCCTTTCTCTTTCGCCCCCGGTCGTGATAGCATCGTTAACCTTCCAAGATCGAAAGAGGCTACGGGAAGAGAACACGGTATGTACCGGGTACACACAATCAAACAAACGAGAAACACCAAGTTACCGTATGAGAGAAACTAACGAGAAGATAAGTCGAGACTTACTATGGCGAGCGGTACGGTCAGGTCGATTTTTCTTCCGTCCGTGGGTGTATCCTGATCACTAACTAGCATGTACACATCACCCATGACTTTTCAGCGACGTGCGCGAGCGAACAAACAACGCGACAACAGATTTTCTCCGTTGGCTTCCCTCTCTGGCGATCGTCGACACTTGAATCTCACACAGAACACACTGCTAACAGATGGCTGACAGATATACCGATTACGAATTCACACGTAACGTAGTCAAGAGGAATGCAACGAACAGCTCGAAGATCGTCGCGTCATATCGCGGCTGGTCGCGGCGACGTGCGATCGCGAACGATCATGCGGGGTCATTCCTCGAGTTGTTGCCGATTCTGCTACTGTCTTCGTCCCACACCACTTCGCGCGAACAACTTTCCTCCTCATGTGTCGAGTTCGAGCCGCGTATGAGATATCGCAAAGGAGCCGATTATAACGTTCGTCGATCGTTCTCGCGCTACGAGCACCACAACAACGTGTAACGGGGCAAGATGAACCGAAATCACACCCACTCTGTCCAGGCACAGAGGGCAAACTGTCGTCTGATAGCCGCTCCGCGGGCTGCAGCGACCTACCCAGACCAACGAAAAGCGATACTCGATGGCGCTACGGCCGCACGGAGTCTGTGCTACGAGTACGCTTCGGGTAAACGGTGGCGCCGCTGCCGGCCGATCCTAGCACTAACCTCCCGCCCGCTCATACATTCAAACCCGACCGCACACCATCAACGACACCCACACACGCGCACACGTAGATTCATGGACGTGTGTCGCGCGCGTGCACTCGACTTCCACAGCCGACAGTCGCGATGTATGCACGTATACGAGTCGGGGAACTTGGCGTCGGACAAGCTGGTTCGGTGTAGAGGGGAGTCGGTAGTTATCCAGCCCCTGCCCCCCCCCCCCGATGGAAAGTGTCCCAGGGCCGGCGCAACCGCAATTCGTCGATTGCAACGACTGATTGTGAGCGCGATTTAACGGAAGTCGAGCGAGCTGTCTACTTTTAAAACGTGCCCGATACGACGGAGTTATGTATAGCCTACTACCTAAATTGCTTTGTCCGGACGATTTACATTCTTTTCATGCAAATCAGTTTACAGCTAGCCAGACGTCGATGCATCTACCCAACTGACCCTCCCGCCCCTGCGCGTTACTCTTTTCTTACTAATTTTTTCGCGTTGTTTCTGTTATCGAACAAAAAAACGAGGAAAAGATCCCGGGAGTTAAGACGGCCCTGACACGCTAAGAGCACGTCGAGAAGCGTTCGGTCGGTCTTTTCTCCCGTAACACTTTGGAGCAAGTATATGCAACGAGTTAATTAGTAATGGCGCACAGGGCGATGACGGTTATCGGTATAAAACGATCGAAATGTCGGAGACGTTGTCCGCGCCATTCCTCATCAAAATTCAAAGCGCTCTCGTTACAACTTTCGAAATTGCGAATGTACCTTTGTTCCAGAAAAGTTCGAAAATCACCTCTGAATTAAGCACTCGGGGCGAGAGGCAGACTCCGGGTCCGTCAGCGCGATTTCTAACTAACAACGGTCTCGTTTATGCATTAACATCACGTACACGCGTGGAGGAACAAGGAGAAGGAGAGCAGGAAGAACGATTAGATACGTAGAAAGGATAAAATAGCGCGCGGGAACGTTTTCCAGCTAACTAACGATCGCGAGTACGGATTTTAAAATCCGAGTATACACATTTGCAGGATATATCCAGCACCGCGTAGGGAAGAAATACGAGTCGCGATTTATGAGACCGTGTGACCCGGGCAGTTATGGCTGAAGCCGAGGAGAAGTGTAAAATACTATGGTTATTTGTGGAAGCGTGCACTTCCGCGCGATTTTTGCCTCGAGCCCTCTCTGTATACGATTCTTTTTCACGAAGCCCTCAAAGGCGGAAGGGCTATACGTCTGCCGACGATAGCACGGGATTCTCTCTCCGCCCTCGAGCGTATTCTCGGCCTCTTTCCTCTTTCGTCTTTAACCCTCCGGGCATCATCGGGCGGCGTTCCCTCCTTCCAAAGGGGCCCTCGCCATCTTCCAAGGCCAGCCATGGTTGTGCCTGGCTAAGTCGCCAAAAGCTTGGACTCCCCGTGGAATTCAGCTTCCGTGATGCCAGAGACTGGCGTATTGCGTGGCATCCCCCAGTGTCGGCGATGCACTTCGATCCGCTGGGATCGAGCCTCGTAAAATTGGATTTGCGCAGACAGTATGGCACGGTAACAGTATGCTGCTCCACCGTGACGACCGTACCCTTTCCGGAAATACTGATCGCCCTTCTGAATCATCGTTAACGATCCAACCCTTTTGTAGCGCGGCACCCTTTAATTTTTCAAACCTGCCAACGACATTTTACACCTATTGATCGCGACACTACCCACCGTGATTGATCGCGTCGATCAACCCACGCTGGAATCTTCACTATCACGAACAAAACACCACCGAAGTCATCGAGATACATTTTCCCCGATAATTCTATTCTTTTTAGAAGATCGAGGAGTCGATCTTACGCCAGTTTCTCGAGCAGTCGATTCAACGAATCGTTGGAAAAAGTTTTGCATGTTTTATGTCTCGTGTGGTTTATGCATGACGGTGCACCGGCATATTTCAACCGAGTATCCAGACAGTTTTTAAACGAGCGGTTCTCCAACAGATAGATAGCTGGCGCATGATCGATCCTTGGATTTAAATTATCTGGCTTTTCATATACTATTCCTGCGTTGATTTATTTGTCATTCGATCGCGTAACGATAAGGCAGTGGTTACGGGACACGTAATAGGAGCAAACAAAGACAGCGCAATATCCTCTCGATCTCGAGCCTCGATGTTTATATACGCGTCTTTAATTTTGACTTCTCTTTCATCGTGCATCGTTATTGCGGCTGCGAGTTTCGCAGTTGCTTTGTGTTTACCGTGACTCGCAAAAGGCGAGGCGGCGTCCAATCGATTCTCCATCGTCGAAAAAGAGCGCCGCCGCGACGCGTTAAATCTACGTGGATTGCGCGAATATATGCATCCCTCTAACGACTACCTTTCATCCTTTGAATCTTCGTCCCCCAACGATAATTATTGTTAAATAAATAAGAAAAGTAATTAAGAAGATGGTACACTTTTATACGCAAGTTTCGAGCACCAGATAAGAACGTTGTAATTTCCTCGAAAGAAAACGAGAGTGGTACTCGTCTCGCGGTAAAAAATTCCAAGCAATTTATGAAGAATATCCTGACCAGCTGGTTCGCGATAGTAATTCGGATAGGGGCCTGGAAATGATCAATTTATCGTCGGTGGCGGGTACTTTAATCAGCGGCGATCGGCCGTTTTTGCGAAACAGACAGGAAAAAGGAGAAAGAAAACGCTGGTCGGAGAGGTGAGATGGAAAAACAATTACACTATCAACGATTGAATAGCGGGGTTTGGTTGCCAGTAAATTTCGCGGGAGCTCGAGGAAATAAGCAATGTAGATAATAGCTTAGCGGTACCGTTATCTACGGGCTCCCTGGGAGGATTGCAGCCCTGAAACGTTTGTTCGGATGATAGAAAGTATTTCGCCCGGGTAGGGCAAGTAGAAAACTTTGGCCAGAGAAGTTTTTGCGATACCGCGAGAATCGTATCAGATTTCCTGAAGCTAGGCGAGAGAGGTTCCCATCGCAACTCGAGTTCGATCCTCCTCCCCCTACCGCTTTTAAAGCCCGCTTATACTTCGTACTTAGTTTTCGCGGCAACCGAAACTTACCTAACAGATACGAGTCGTTGGCCACGATATGGAATCCGAGCGAACAAGTCGTCGTTCCACCCTTTACTCGTGACGGACAAATCGTCCCTGGGACAGAAATTGAACGTCGAACTCTTCTTTCCCCGAAATCGTTTCTTAAATCGAGCAGAGACGACCTTAATTTGCCCAACGTTTCACTCGGATCGTAAGGAAAACATTGCGATAAAGCCACTCGCGAGGGGAAATTTTACTTTGATAATTTCTGCGAGCTTTGCCTCCGCAATTGTAATCTACCAGGGCACGAAATATAGAAGCAATCATTATAATCTTGCTACCTTCCTCTCCAACGAACGAGAGTGCGGTTATGCCAAGACTCGAACCGTGTATTTCGTAACGAGAGATAGACAAAATTCTATTTATAAGCGTTTGTTTGTTCCGCGGTGATTGAAATTTTTATTTTTATTTGACGAGCGTAACCTACACTTTTATCGCGATACAATTTATTCCCGGCCGTTGAATATTTGTTATTTTAATGCGTCCGATAAAAAATATTGTTATTCACTTTTATTCGGTGCATAACCAGGGAATTCTAAATCGTTTAAACGGTATACCCCATTAAAACAGAAGCGGAAAACAAATGCGTGTGCCCTTTAAAGCGGATATCCCGATAGCGTGTTTCGACGATGCGATATTTATTACGTAAAATTTGATCCCGTAACGGTATCCCGCGGACATTATTACTTTTCGTCTCTGCGAAACTCGGAACATTTATTTAACGATCGGCGGCGGCGCTGTGAATTTCACTCTGATGACTTATGTTCGCGAACGTACTCTAATTTTAATGTTTATGATAGGGTTTATGACGCAATTTCTGTTCTATGCGAGTTTCATGTTAATAAGTTCTCTTACCGCGATGTATGTTGCAATAAAATGTACATTATTTAGGTACAAAGCCTCCGATACGCGTACCTACGCAAAATCATCGAAAATACGATACTCTATTACGGGGGGGGAAAAATATTTATGCCTCGATTTACCGAAATGCAATACCCATTGAAAATAATCCCGTGGATCCCGAGTGAAATGTAAAAAATACAATATGTATCGCGTTTCCGTTCGAAAAACAATCGTGTCCCTTTCGATGGGTTTTGAAAGTTGCGTTTAGTCTACCAATTAGTCGATAATCGAGCAACCTTTCAAACATTCTCGCGAATCGAGTTGAATTTCTCGACTGGATCCAGGTTAATTAATTCGCGGATGGAGGTCGTTTTGGGTCAGGTTGGCGCGTTTCGACGTATCGTTAGGGGTACGTTCGTAGCCGCTTTTATGCACGGCGTCGCGAAACAATCGTATTCCCCCTACGGCCATAACCGGTCCGCGGTAAGGCGAGTACGTCTTCTGCCCCCGAGTTTCGGAGGGTTTGTCCTCCCTGGAGAAATGTTCGTTCTAATTTATGAAACACAGCGGACGTTACGGCGTTTACGGAGGCGCCTTCGCCAGGCGGCTACGAGGCCCGAGAGCTGGCACGTGAAGGGAAAACTTTCCCAGGTAAGCTGCCGCCGCCCGCGAAGGTTACCACCGTCAGGATTTTCTTGCTACGTCATTAGTATTCCGGGATATATACGGAGCCATCGAGACAAAGAGGGACAGCGGAGGAGCTGGAGGAAGAACGAAAGGAGAGGAGTTTCTGCTAAATAAGTATCCCACGCACAGGGACACGTTTCTCTACTCGCCCTACTTGCGCTCAGCCTCTTATTCTTCCTCTCCTTTCCTCTCGCTCCGTCTTCGCGGCCAACTCGTTCCGAACAGCCGTAAGAAAGAAACGCGAACTCTCTTAACGAATGCTTTTCTTCCACGGTTCCCATCCCGGCGCTAACAGTTAGACC